TAATAAGCAGATTAGAAGTCGTACGTCCGAACAGTAGGTTAATACTGCACCTCCAGTCCCCAAACCGACTCCAAAGGACTCCTTTGAGTTATTATTTATGAGAGGAGCGTTTACTGTTGACCAAACGTCCTGTTTAGGGGCCAGAAAAGAAAGACACTGAAGAGGCAGTTAGGTTGAACAAGTATATTGAAATAACAGATATATACAAAGCAAGAGTGATAATAATAAGCAGATTAGAAGTGTACGTCCGAACAGTAGGTTAATACTGCACCCATTCCAGTCCCCAAACCGACTCCTTGAGGACTATTTATGAGTTACTGTTGTGGCTTTTAGGGGAAAAGACACTGAAGAGGCAGTTTTGAACTGTATATTGGATATATACAAAGCTGTTTAAGGGGCCAGAAAGAAAGACACTGAAGAGGCAGTTAGGTTGAACAAGTATATTGGAAATAACAGATATATACAAAGCAAGAGTGATAATTAAGCAGATTAGAAGTGTACGTCCGAACGGTAGGTTAATACTGCACTCCAGTCCCCAAACCGACTCCTAAAGGACTCCTTGAGTTAGTATTTATGAGAGGAGCGTTACTGTTGTAATAATGTGTTTAGGGGCCAGAAAGAAAAAGACACTGAAGAACAAGGATAACAGTTAGGTTGAACAAGTATATTGAAATAACAGACTATATACAAAGCAAGAGTGATAATAATAAAGACAGATTAGAACATGTGTACGTCCGAACAAGGTAGGTTAATACTGCACCTCCAGTCCCCTCCTGTTTCCGACTCCTAAAGGACTCCTTGAGTTAGTATTTATGAGAGGAGCGTTTACTGTTGTGGCCTGTTTAGGGGCCAGAAAAGAAAGACACTGAAGAGGCAGTTAGGTTGAACAAGTATATTGAAATAACAGATATATACAAAGCAAGAGTGATAATAATAAGCAGATTAGAAGTGTACGTCCGAACGGTAGGTTAATACTGCATCTCCATTCCCCAAAACCGACTCCTAAAGGACTCCTTGAGTTAGTATTTATGAGAGGGAGCGTTTACTGTTGTGGCCTGTTTAGGGGCCAGAAAAAAAAGACACTGAAGAGGCAGTTAGGTTGAACAAGTATATTGAAATAACAGACATATACAAAGCAAGAGTGATAATAATAAGCAGATTAAATACTGTACGTCCGAACGGTAGGTTAATACTTTATGAGAGGAGCATCTCCAGTCCCCAAACCGACTCCTAAAGGACTCCTTGAAATTACAGATTTATGAAGGAGCGTTTACTGTTGATTAGAAGTGTACGGCCTGTTTAGGGGCCAGAAAAGAAAAGACACTGAAGAGGCAGTTAGGTTGAACAACTGAAGAAGGCAGTTATAACAAGTGAAATAACAGACATATACAAAGCAAGAGTGATAATAATAAGCAGATTAGAAGTGTACGTCCGAACGGTAGGTTAATACTGCACCTCCAGTCCCCAAAACCGACTCTAAAGGACTCCTTGAGTTAGTATTTATGAGAGGAGCGTTTACTGCTGTGGCCTGTTTAGGGCCAGAAAAGAAAGACACTGAAGAGGCAGTTAGTTGAACAAGTATATTGAAATAACAGACATATACAAAGCAAAGGTGATAATAATAAGCAGATTAGAAGTGTAGTCCGAACGGTAGGTTAATACTGCATCTCCAGTCCCCAAACCGACTCCTAAAGGACCCTTGAGTTAGTATTTATGAGAGGAGGTTGTGGCCTGTTTAGGGGCCAGAAAAGAAAGACACTGAAGAGGCAGTTAGGTTGAACAAGTATATTGAAATAACAGATATATACAAAGCAAGAGTGATAATAATAAGCAGATTAGAAGTGTACGTCCGAACGGTAGGTTAATACTGCATCTCCATTCCCCAAACCGACTCCTAAAGGACTCCTTGAGTTAGTATTTATGAGAGGAGCGTTTACTGTTGTGGCCTGTTTAGGGGCCAGAAAAGAAAGACACTGAAGAGGCAGTTAGGTTGAACAAGTATATTGAAATAACAGACATATACAAAGCAAGAGTGATAATAATAAGCAGATTAGAAGTGTAGGTCCGAACGGTAGGTTAATACTGCCTCCATCCCCAAACCGACTCAACTCCTTGAGTTAGTATTTATGAGAGTAGCGTTTACTGCTGTGGCCTGTTTAAGGGCCAGAAAAGAAAGACACTGAAGAGGCAGTTAGGTTGAACAAGTATATTGAAATAACAGACATATACAAAGAAGTGATAATAATAAGCAGATTAGAAGTGTACGTCCGAACGGTAGGTTTAATACTGCATTTCCCCAAACCGACTCCTAAAGGACTCCTTGTTAGTATTTATGAGAGGAGCGTTTACTGTTGTGGCCTGTTTAGGGCCCAAAAGAAAGACACTGAAGAGGCAGTTAGGGTTGAACAAGTATATTGAAATAACAGACATATACAAAGCAAGAGTGATAATAATAAGCAGATTAGAAGTGTACGTCCGAACGGTAGGTTAATACTGCATCTCCAGTCCCCAAACCGACTCTAAAGGACTCCTTGAGTTAGTATTTATGAGAGGAGCGTTTACTGCTGTGGCCTGTTTAGGGGCCAGAAAAGAAAGACACTGAAGAGGCAGTTAGGTTGAACAAGTATATTGAAATAACAGACATATACAAAGCAAGAGTGATAATAATAAGCAGATTAGAAGTGTACGTCCGAACGGTAGGTTAATACTGCACCTCCAGTCCCCAAACCGACTCCCTCCTTGAGTTAGTATTTATGAGAGGAGCGTTTACTGTTGTCCTGTTTAAAAAAGGACACTGAAGAGGCAGTTAGGTTGAACAAGTATATTGTAACAGACATATACAAAGCAAGAGTTAATAATGAGATTAGAAGTGTACGTCCGAACGGTAGGTTAATACTGCATCTCATTCCCCAAACCGACGCCTAAAGGACTTTGAGTTAGTATTTATAAGAGGAGCGTTTTACTGTTGTGGCCTGTTTAGGGGCCAGAAAAGAAAGACACTGAAGAGGCAGTTAGGTTGAACAAGTATATTGAAATAACAGACATATACAAAGCAAGAGTGATAATAATAAGCAGATTAGAAGTGTACGTCCGAACGGTAGGTTAATACTGCACCTCCATTCCCCAAACCGACTCCAAAGGACTCCTTGAGTTAATTTATGAGACGTTTACTGCTGTGGCCTGTTTAAAGGACACTGAAGAGGCAGTTAGGTTGAACAAGTATATTGAAATAACAGACATATACAAAGCAAGAGGATAATAATAAGCAGATTAGAAGTACGTCCGAACGTTTACTGTCCATTCCCCAAACCGACTCCTAAAGGACTCCTTGAGTTAGTATTTATGGGAGGAGCGTTTACTGTTGTGGCCTGTTTAGGGGCCAGAAAAGAAAGACACTGAAGAGGCAGTTAGGTTGAACAAGTATATTGAAATAACAGACATATACAAAGCAAGAGTGATAATAATAAGCAGATTAGAAGTGTACGTCCGAACGGTAGGTTAATACTGCATCTCCATTCCCCAAACCGACTCCTAAAGGACTCCTTGAGTTAGTATTTATGAGAGGAGCGTTTACTGCTGTGGCCTGTTTAGGGGCCAGAAAAGAAAGACACTGAAGAGGCAGTTAGGTTGAACAAGTATATTGAAATAACAGACATATACAAAGCAAGAGTGATAATAATAAGCAGATTAGAAGTGTACGTCCGAACGGTAGGTTAATACTGCATCTCCATTCCCCAAACCGAACTCCTAAAGGACTCCTTGAGTTAGTATTTATGAGAGGAGCAGTTAGGTTGAACAAGTTTACTGCTGTCCTAAAGGCCTGTTTAAGGCCAGAAAGGAAAGACACTGAAGAGGCAGTTAGGTTGAACAAGTTTATTGAAATAACAGACATATACAAAGCAAGAGTGTTAATAATAAAGCAGATTAGAAGTGTACGTCCGAACGGTAGGTTAATACTGCATCTCCATTCCCCCAACCGACTCCTAAAGGAATCCTGAGTTAGTATTTATGAGAGGAGGAATTTCCACTGCTGTTGTTTAGGGGCCAGAAAAGAAAGACACTGAAGAAGGCAGTTATTGAAATAACAGATATATCTAACAGACTTAAGTGTAGGTAAGAACAAAATATTGCATAATTTACCCAACTGACCCTCAAGGAATTTAATAAAAAAATCCATACTGTTAAATTTAAGGGCCACAATATTATTATCTATATCTATAATTCTCAAAATGTGTGTGTGAATGTGTGTGTGTGTATGTGTGTCTGATCGGATGCTGTTTATGTGTTTCCATAGATTTAATCCGATTTGATGAAATTTTTTGTTTGATAGATAATTCTTCAGTGACGGTTTTGAGTCCAAATTACACATTCCCCTTCTATTGGCCAAGGTTCCAGTCTCGTGTCATGTTACCTTTTCCGTTGCATAACGCCTACTACTACAGTTTGAAGGGGTTTCTTTCATTATCGTTTATAGCCATTCCTAATTTATTTATTTTTTTAGTCTTCCCAATTTTTGCATTGCATTCACCGTAGTAATAAGTAAACTTGTTTTTTTATTACCCAACATTTATTTTTCCAAACTTTCCTAAAGTTATTCGAGCTTAGTTATCCATGTAGCTTTAATGCCGTTCTTTTCTTGTATTTGCCCACGCATTCTGTTTTACAATTCATACTTGGCTAAGACATGTCACCAAAGAAAAAAAACGTGCCTAGATCGCAAAACCGCTGCTGCCAGGTCCGTCATGCGAATAAGAGATGACGAATTGTTTTTAGAACGTTCAATTTGCCTGTCTGAAAATGACACTCGGGATGCTTCAAATCAGATCCACGTAGAAATCGTCTTTCGTCTAGAAATCGTCTTTCGCGCGACGCTGAAATTAATGATCAATAATAATAGATAAATAATTTGCATAAAGAATATTTTGGCCGAACCTACGGACTCGGAGATCCCACGTAAAACCCGTCCTTGTGCCACATGTAACCCTCGTGTGTGGAGGTAGCTAAATATCATTATCTATCTATCTATCTATCTATCTATCTATCTATCTATCTCAGTTTATTCATTATCTATCTATCTATCTCAGTTTATTCATTATCTATCTATCTATCTATCTATCTATCTATCTATCTATCTCAGTTTGTTAATTATCTATCTATCGATTTATATATCATCTGACCATGTACCCCCTTTAATCTACGAAAACAGGTAAAGTTCTTTTTTTAACATTTCCAAAGTAGATTATTTTTTATCATTATTATTATTAACATACGTCGACTGATGAGGTACCATCTCAGTATCGAAGCATGAAAGTTATTTTGTAGCGATGTAAAATGTTTTTTTCTGTCTCAGCCTGTCCGTTATCTATCTCAATTTGTTCAATATATATCTCAGTTTGTTCATTATCTATCTATTGAAATTGTTCATTATCTATCCACGAATCTCAGTTTGCTCGGAATCTATCCAATACAAAAAGAACGAGACAACTCCGAGAAAGCCTTAACTAACATAGGAGTAAATCAGTGGAAAAACAAAAAACAGCTACAGACAGGGTCCGCAACATAAAAAAACCCAAAGATAATTGCCAATTTTTACAACTAGACATAAAGGAATTTTACCCTTCTATAACAGAACCCATGCTAGATAAGGCCATCACTTTAAACCAAGAACAAATAATAATAAACACTGATTTACTCCTAACTTCTACCTTAGATCTGAATTAATTCTTCCTATTATCGTTTTACTTATTTTACCAATGCCACATTTGGTTTTATGAGTCTTCATGTGGGTCGGTTTTGAAATTTTCTTTGTGGTCTTTTACTGCGATAAATGCTTGCACCTTAGCGATGCAAATTATTCGGTCGTCTAGGTCTAATTTTGGGCGTTTGTTTTAGCTTCGTTATTGATATCGTCTTCTATTAGTTTTTGATGTTTTTATGTATGTTGTAGTCATGTTGTCCTTCAGTCATTTATTGTGATGTTGGGGTGGGTGGCTTAGTTCATATAAATTTCAAGCTTTGTCCACTGCGATAAAACCGTTTGTTGATTTCTTTAATTTAGTTATATCATCTTTTAGTTTTTTTGTTTTTTTTTCTCTTGGAATATTTATGGTCCGGTTCCTTGTACCACGGTGATAATCCAAGGTAGAACCAATAAAGAAGAACATGAACACAGGTATGGAATAACGCAGATATATTACAAACAGGAATATATACTGTTAGTATGCACAATCAGGTTTAGTAGAGAGAACAACGTAGTCTTGACCAGTATCACTATTCCAATGTCTTGCAGGAATTGTCTGAACGCGACTCTGTTTCGGACTGCCTCTGACTCGACTCTTGACTCGACTTGAACTACTGATTCGACTTGAACTACTGACGATATTCAGTCACCCCCACGAGGGTGTCATGTGGCACAAGGCCTTTTAACATGGGCATTTCCGAGCCATTAGGCTCAGCTCAAAAAATAGCCCCATTGAACCCCGTATAAACGGGTTCAGGGCCGGTTTTACCTCCCCGAAGGAGACTTCTTCAGCCCTTCGGCGTAGCCTCCTTCGTTCCCTCCCGCCCGTAGGAAGAGAGTTTAACCGAACAGTCGGTTCAGAGGTGAACGACTGACAATATTCAGTCACCCCCCACGAGGCTGTCATATGGCACAAGGCCTTTTTAACGTGGGCATTTCCGGAGCCATTAGGCTCCGGCAAAAAATAGCTTATTTGAACCCGTATAAACGGGTTCAGAGCCGGTTTACCTCCCGAAGGAGACTGCGCCCTTCGGCGTAGCCTCCTTCGAGTTCCTCCGTCCGTAGACAGAGAGTTGAACCGAACAGTCGCTCAGAAAGTGAACGACAGACTATATTTAGTCGTCCCCCACGAGGGCGTCATGTGGCACAAGGCCTTTTTTAACGTGGGCTTTCTGAGCCATTAGGCTCGGCCAAAAATAGCCATTTGAACCCGAATAAACGGGTTCAGGGCCTCTTTTACCTCCCCTCTAGGAGACTCCGCCCTTCGGCGTAGCCTCCTTCGGGTTCCTCCCGCCCGAAAGCAGAGAGTTAAACCGAACCGTCGCTCAGAAAGTGAACGACAGACTATATTTAGTCGTCCCCCCACGAGGGCGTCATGTGGCACAAGGCCTTTTTAACGTGGGCATTTCCGAGCCATTAGGCTCGGCCAAAAAATAGCCCATTTGAAACCGTATAAACGGGTTCAGGGGCGGTTTACCCTCCGCCCTTCAAAAGAACTCCTTCGGGTTCCTCCTCCAACATAGAGAGTTAAACCGAACCGTTCGCTCAAAAGTGAACGACAGACTTCGGCGTAGGGCGTCAAGGTTCTCCCCGCCCGAAAGCAGAGAACCCGTTAAACCGAACCGTTCGCTCCCAGAAAGTGAACGACGTAGCCTCCTCCTTCTCCGTCCGTAGACTCCCGAACCGTCGCTCAGAAAGTACAGACTCCCTTCTAAGTCCTGACGAATAGTCCATTATTATTATTATGGTTAAGATCCCATAACAAGAATGCATCTTTTTTTTTTATGGAATTTTATGTTTCTTACTAAGTTAGTTATGTCTTTCTCGAAGTCGTCTAGTTCTTTCTGTTCCGGAGGGGATTTTTTTGGCTTTAAAGCAGTATTTTCCCTTGGATGTGGCATTATTGATAACTTCCCTGTGTTTTCCATCGTATTCC